AAGCTGCCCCGAGGCTTCGGCGAATGGGGCAGCTTACAACAATAAATTAAAATAACATTTTAAAATATATACATTAAAATACAAATATATGATATAAAACATACAATATAAAACAAGCCGCCCTGGCCAGATAAAATTCAATAATATTAACATTTAAAATACTGCTTAAATAAAAAGGTCTTCGCCCGGCGCTGAAAAACAAATAACGACGGCGCCAGGCGGACCTCTCTGGGGAGTGCATTCCATAACTTAGGCGCCACCGCTGAGAAAGCCCTCCTCCGAGTAACCACCCTCCTAACTTCTTCCACAGAGGGCTCCCGGATCTCAGGGGGCGGCTGGGCATATATGGATATAAGCGCGCCTTCAGGTAACCAGGACCCAATATGCCTGCAGTTCAAATCTAAGGTCTCTAAATGTTTGAGTTCTATTCTGCCTCTTCTCTTCCTTTGACATTCACACATGGTAAAAAGAGCGTGAAAAAGATGTCTGAAGTCTGAGGGTTTTTATGGCACTACTGCCTGCCTTATTCATGGAATTTTACAGGGAGCCCAGATGTTATTGTCTTCATTTGTTATCCTCCAGTGTTTTCTCACTGCTTCCTCTGCCTTTTTTCTTACCATGGAACATCTGTTAAGGAAGAAAAGATGAATTAGCTGGCATGTCTGGCTATAGAATGCTGGGAATTGCAGGACTTTTCCCCATCTAAATATGCATAATATTGTGCCCTTAGCTAATGCGATCAGATTGCTAGTCCCTGGAGCCCTTTCTCTTGAAGCACCCACAGAGAAGTCTCATGTATGATAATCCTCATAGGTGGAAAAAGTGCTAAGTCACTAGTTGCTTGCTAAGTTTTGATGAAGGCTACATGATCCTTTGAACTCGGTAGTTATACAGTAGGAATGCTTGTGAAAATTCCCAGTGCTGAATGATCTCTGGCAGGTAACATGTCCCAAATTCACCAAAATTTTATTGTCTAATAGAATTGCAGGATGCAGTATTTCAAATTCTGTATCATATGAAATATAGTACATGGAAAAGTGAATATGGTGTCAAATCCCATATTATAAAGATCAAGGAAACCAATTATTTATTGCAATCATGGAATTTGCTCACATGATTCCCCTAACCTGCAGAGAAAGTTGATTGATGTTGAAAGACCAAGGAACCTGTCCAAGGATGCTGATTAAGGCTACACTGGAAGTAAGCACAATGAGATATGGTTACTGCTTGTATGGCTCAGAAACTAAGGTGGATACCCAAGTTTATAATATTCTTTCCTACTTCCTGGTTTGTGTATGAGTGAATTTCTAAGTCTCTTAAATCTCAGACTTTTTGATCATAGAATAACTATTTCTTACTGATGGATGTAACTAGGCTGCAATACCATGAATACTTGCTGCCATTGAAGTCAATGTAACTTACTTCTGGGTAGCTGTTCATAAAATTGCACATTTATTTATTAGTTTGTTTCATTTGTATGCCTCCCAATAGCCAAAAGTCTCTCTAAGTTGTTAATAAAGTTAAAAAGGAGATATAAACAAAAAACAAAACAAAACAAAAAACCCCAGAACAACATGTAATGATAAAACTATAGAACAATAAAGCCAATAAAACAGCAACAGTAACAATAAGCCAACGGCAACTGCAGTCGAGTAGTTGGCATGTTATTGTTATATCTATGTACACACACACATGCATGCATACATATATATCTTAAGCTGCATTCTACAGACCCCCATAGTCTGCTGATTACTTACAACCTAACTGCTATACCATTAACATTTAATTTTCTCACATTGTAAAACATTGGAATTAGATTTGACACCACATTCACTCTTCTGTATTCTGTATTTCATGATAAAATTAAATCAGAAATGTTGCTGTAGGATATTCCTGCAACTTGAGAGCATTGTGGGATTTTGGGGAATGCCTACTCAAGGAAAAGACTGCACTTGCCAAAACCATCCATCAACAGAAACTTTAAACAAAGTTTAAATTCATCCTATTATCTCACTGGCTATACAGGCTTGATGGGACAGCAGTGTTTTACCCCAAAACTGAATTGTTCCTATACAAACAAAAACATTGACAAAATGCTTGGTCTGCCACCCAAAAATTTTTGTTTACATTGCAGCAAGTCTCACTGACCATAATGGAATTTACTTCTTACATGGATAGGATTGCAGTGTTCATTTTCTTTTCACCGGAATAAATAGCAACAGAGGCTTTGGTGGGATTCTCTACTTAAGTTTTCCACCTTGCCTGTGTTTTGGCTTGCATAAAAATAACAAAATGGAGACATTGCCAAAGCCTTTGTGGTTTTTCACCGGCACTCTGTGGCAGGGTGAACAACTACAGATGGTATGGGGGCAAATTTCTAACTCCTGGAAGTCAGTGCTGAGTGCATTCCCCTGCTCCATATAATTGCCATCACTTTCTTAACTACCACAAGGCATGCAGTGTTATCTGACTATCCCTCAGAGAAATGTAAATTGGTATTAAAACAAGGTGTTTTGATTTACAGTGGAAATAAATTTTTTCTGCTGCCTGGGGAGCTTTGAGCACCACAAAACAGCTTGCAGGCTACATGTTGCCCACCTTTGCTCTATGGACTAGTGGAAGTGGGGTTAGGGAACCCTTTGTGTCTCAGCTCAAGAGAAAGAGAGTGATAACATGTATGTTAGGGGAGGGAGACATCATTGAGATCAGTAGCTGTGGTAGTTTTAGTTAGGTTTCCAAGCTTCCACTGGCCTGTTCCAATCCTAAGATTTTTTTTTCCTGCTGCCTTCTAGTTTGGATCCACCAGGTAACCACTGCCTGCCCATGTTTGGATATAAGCATGTCCTGGCGCTAACAGATAAGGTGAACCGCTTCAATGAGGAGGTGAAGAAGCAGAGTGTGTCAAGGAACCGTGATGCCCCTGAAGGAGGTTTTGATGCCATCATCCAAGCAATTGTCTGTGATGTAAGAACCCTCCTCACATCACCAATCAATGAGGTTATGAGAACCAGGAAGAATGTTTGGTCATTTGTGTGCCTAGTATCTGTGCAGGAGTGCCAGCTGGTTTTTCCACCAGAGGCATCCAAAACATCTTTGCCCACCATTCCTTCTTTTAAGCTTCTTTACCACTCTTACAGTGAAGAGAAAATCTTAAAAGGATGACTAATCTGCATTGACTGATGTGGAATGTGTGCCTTTCTGGGCTTTGCTTTTGTACATGTCTCATGGAGATTATGCTACCATTTTTATTTTACTACAGGAAAAGATTGGCTGGCGGCCAGATGCCTCCCACTTGTTGGTGTTCACCACAGATGCCAAGACACACATTGCTTTAGATGGGAGACTTGCAGGGATTGTGACACCCAATGATGGGAAATGCCATATGGATAGCAACAACTTCTATGAAGCTTCCACCACACTGGTAAGGGCAAAGCTCTGAAGCTGTGGGCCCAGGATGAAAGCACTAACAAGGATTGTTCCACTTTAGCAGATGGTACATTTGAATAGCTATCATAAAATATTTTCCAGTAGCTTACCACAGTACCTTATCTGAGTTTGATGGAACTGATATACATTGTGAGTGTTCGTAAAGTGTATACTCTTGGAACAGTAGCAGAACTCCACGTTTGCTTGATACAGGTGGGCAGGAGGGACAGAATGTTGTGCCTATTTCTTTACAACAGTGTTCACCTTATTTTCAGTTCTTTTTTCCATTTATGTCAATGGCCTTAGTGATGGATAGGAAGGCAAGAAGGTGGGTGGGCTCAGGAGAGGCAACTTCAGTGGACTTTTGTAACCTGAAATCAAGAGTCTCTCATTCTGCTTTTAACCTTCCTACAGTGTGTGAAGAATGGCACAGTTGAGGCATCAGATCTCCTTGTGAACTCAGGGCTGCTTGCACATTCTGAACACAGACACTTTCTAAAGCTGACCCTGGAAATCTGACCTTGGAGGACCTATTGCACACGCAGCCACAACACACCCACTGTGGCATCCCTGTCACTGAGGCCAACACTTACTGAGGAGTTGAAAACAGATGTCACCTTTACTCCAACAGTGTCATCTAGAGCAGCACCTTTTCCCTTGGGGGTGACTAACATTTGCCTTTAAAAAAGGGAAGCACTAGAGGACCCTACTGGGATACAGTCCAAGCTTGCTTCTTGCCTCCGGTGATTCTTGTCACTGATTGGACTCTGCACCATCATCTGTTTAGCACCATCCTGGGCTCAATTTCTTGGTCATACTGAAGTGCAGCACCATGTTGGCAAGTGCTGGGTAAAGTCTGAGGTCTGGCTTTTGTAGAAACAAGGCTTGTGAGGATATCACCATTTTGGATGATAATTGAGTTTACTGTTTTTATTAACTGTTCTTAGCTAACCTGAGATCTTTTGAAGAAAGATAGCACTAAAAACTGTTAAATAAATAAATAAAAGCAGACCTTTCCATCTCCTCCACCCCCACTATCACATAGTTCCCTGTTGTTGTTTTTCTAGTGAAACATTCTTCATTTCTCTATCTTGTTCTCTCCCTCAAGGATTACCCATCCCTTGGCCTGCTGACAGATAAACTCTCCCAGAAAAACATTAACCTGATTTTTGCTGTGACTAATACCATTGTGGGTCTCTACAGGGTAAGAGGACTCATATTGTTTGGTTAGAGCTTACTGGAGTGTGGGATGGGTAAAAGCCACTTGAGATAGGCTGTTAAAATCAGGATAAGCAAAAGGTAGTACTTGATCTATTGGTAAAACTTTAGATGATGTGGAGTAGATTGGCAAATAGCACCCCACCCCACCCACTGCCGCCATTACATTGTTGAAATAAAGGAAGTTCAGGGGAAATGGGTGGATTTTCCCGTTTTATTCAAATGGACTGCAGGTTTCATTCACTTTGGGTACACAGAAGTTCCTGAGCTCAGAATATTTTAATTCTCATTGTATGTCCGTTACAGCAGCCTCTGATTAGCGGAACTTGTAGTTCTAAAACTAATTTTTTAAAGTAGATTCCACAGGCACAAAGACTCCCCATATTTAGTCTTTTTCAAAGATAAAAATACCAATATTGATGAAAACAGCAATATCTCCAAGAAGGTTTCTTAGCCTTTGCTTGTCCAATTGTTGGAACATTCTACTGTTTACTTTTCAGAACTACAGTGAGTTGCTCCCTGGCACTACAGTAGGGACTCTTTCAACAGACTCTAGCAATGTTTTGCAGCTAATTTTGGATTCTTATGGGGTGAGTACATGGACAGTGATGTATAAAAGCTTTACTGTATTATTACTATTATTGTGTCATCAGCAAGACTGGTCTGACCATACAGGCATTCCAGGCAACCACCTGGGGTGCCAAATTTCCAGGATCACTTGCCACAGCTAAGCAAATGTGTTGTGGAATAGAGCCTCTGCCTGTAACTTTGGATGAGGTGCATGGCTTCAGTTTAGCCACTCATTTGCTGAGCTGTATTCTCTTCATTCCAGGAGACATGATTCAGAGCCTTCTCCTCTCTGTTGGCTGCTAGGACACAGACACTGATGTTAAATGTAGGAAGCAAAGAAATGACAGGGTAAAATGAAACAGTAACCCAATGACCTCTTGGTAATATTGAAATGCTGCTCAGAAGGGCAGATTTTAATTCACCTCAGACGACAAATAAACACAACTTGTTTAGTATTGGCTTATTATCATTTGTTCACTTGCTTTTTATGGAAAGACCAGGCACTGCTAGCATATCATTGCAATTCTTTTTTTCTGGGTTGTCTCATATTTTTCCATCAATTTTTTCCAACTGATTTGGAACAATTTTTTTAATTTATTTTAATTTTCTTTTTTAAATGTCATCAGTCTTTCCAAAATGAATAGGTAAAGTCTCATTAAGGCTTTTCATGAACTTTGTTCCTTTAATTAGAAGCTTTCTACTTATTGGTTCATCTCCTTTTACTGCTTCCTGTTGGGCAGCAGGATTATGGAAGAGAAAGTTATATTGGGATATGTAGCAACTTTTTGTTACAGGAACCACTTGTGCATATGGAAATACAGGCTTCATTAAATTCATTCTGGCAGACTTCTTTTTCCCATCGTTCCTTCATGGACACAATTGGATTTTCCCCTCATTTGGAAATAATACACAAATATCTCCAGTGTAAAAGTTCTACTGGCACATAACATTTTCCATATTTTACATAGCTCAGTGTACAGTTCATGACCCAAACACACAAAATGAGTATTACATACTAGCATATTTTCCAGTAATTTTCATATTAACATATGAGTAAATTTACATGTGATTCTGGAAAGTTTTTTTTAAAAAATGGTCTGCAAGTCTGCAGAATTTATGAGACTCCAAGTTGCCAGTCTTCTGTAGAATCTGTGGGTTGAATTCATAGAAATCCAAAGTCATTTGAATCTATTTTATTGATTGATTGATTTATATCCTGCCTTTTTCCTACAAAGGGCTCAAGGCAGCTTACATCATTCTCCTCCTCCATCTTATCCCCACAAGAACAACCCTGTGAAGTAGGTTGGGCTGAGAGTCTGTGACTGGCCCAAAGTCACCCAGTTGACTCCATGATTGAGCGGGGACTAGAATGCAGATCGTCTGAGTCCCAGTCCCATGCTCTTAACCACTACACCACACTGGCTCTATTTGGGATTTCTTTGACATTCCTACTTGTGCTCTTTTCTGCTGAGCTATGCTTGGGAGGTAGACTCATCTGAGAGAATGTAGCTTGTCCAAAGCCATACAGGGAACCTCATCTCTGTGTAGATTGAATCCTGACCTCCCTGATCCAAGTGTATTCAGTCTACTGAATTGTGGCTTGACTTAAGGATGAGGAGGACTACAGTAACGAGAAAGAGCACTGGAGCCAAAGCTTGCAAAATACTCTGTCTGGGCCTGCCAAATCTCAGTTGCAGTTTTCAATGACGTTTCAGGCTCAAGCCCAGACATCTCCCTTGTTGTCTCACCCTTTCTCAGAAAATCCGATCCAAGGTCGAACTGGAAGTGCGCAATCTGCCAGAGGAGTTGTCCCTTTCATTCAATGCTACTTGCCTGGAGAATGAAGTCATTCCTGGAGTTAAGTCTTGTGTTGGTCTTAAGATTGGAGACACGGTGAGTTGTAGGGATGCATTTCTAGGGCATTAATAACTGTAAAGGGCTGGGATAGAATGGCCCCTTCCCCTACTCTTCTTCAGAGACAATGCAAAACTTCAGCGTCAGTCTTAAAAGAGTTGCAGCAAACATGCCTATAGTCCAGAACAGCCTTCCCTAAGCGGGTGCACTCCAGATATTTTGGACATGCTACTGGCTGCAGTTGATGGGAGTTCTAGTCAAAAGCATGCAGAGGTTGCCAGTTCATCTAAAAGCAAATCTCAGAAAAGGGTCTAGAAATTACATTTGTACAAAGTTATTGATAGAGTGTAAAACATTTTTAAATGAACACTTTCTTGAAAGGGAAATCCATTTTTCCAAGGTGTCTACCTTCCTAAAGTGTTCGTTTGTAATACTTGTATACCACTTGACATAACAAAATCTCTAAACTGTTTACATGGCAAATTATTAACACTCAATAGACATGCTACAACTTAGACAAATTTTCTACAGTTTCAATTTTTTAAAATTTATTTTCTGTATGTGTTTTGAAATCTAATTTTAACAACACTCCTCCCCCAGTGTGAGATGCATATTAGAAGAGGCTAAGCCATCCAAGTACTTGGTCTCTAGTTTGGGGAAAAATGGCTTGGCTGTGGGTGAAAGGAGTCAAGCATTCTTTCTGCTTGCCCATTCTCTCACTAAAATGGCCCCCCCTGGATTAGTATTACAAGGTAAATGTGGGATAGGGAATTCCTTACTTTACAACAGATAGTTGTACCAATGAAATAATGATATTGGGGCATAGTTTCTCTCCCCTTTAGTCCCACTCATACAGAAATATTTTTCCTGTGTGTGCATGTGTGTGTGCAGATGACCGGGGGAAGAGATGGATGATAGTAAGTACTGAATTGGATGTTCCTACGACATGGGGCATGATCAGTTCTGCTTATGTTGCCCTTCCAGGTTAGTTTCAGCATTGAAGCAAAGATCCATGGTTGCCCCCAGGAAAAGCAGAAGTCTTTCACCATCAAGCCAGTGGGCTTTGAGGACAGCTTGACAGTGGTCGTGAACTTTCTCTGTGACTGCAAATGCCAGCAGAATGCCGAGCCTAACAGCAACTATTGTAACAATGGCAATGGCACCTTTGAATGTGGCATATGCCGCTGCCACCCTGGCCGGCTGGGCTCCCACTGCGAGTGCTCTGAGGAGGAGTATGGTCCCTCCCAGCAGGATAACTGCAGCCCCCCCGATGGGCAGCCGCTTTGCAGTCAGCGGGGTGAATGCATCTGTGGCCAGTGTGTTTGCTACAGTAGTGACTTTGGCAAGATCTCTGGCAAGTACTGTGAGTGCGATGACTTCTCCTGTGTCCGCTTCAAGGGAGAGCTGTGCTCTGGTGAGTGGAATCTGCTGGGAGGAGGTGGGGGGCTGGAAAAGGCTTTCAAGAATTGAAGCCAGTTTGAAAGAGGAATCACTGTTCACGGACTATACCATTCATCCATCTCCACCTTCAGTCAAACAGGGCTTGCAGTTTTTTATAGAGTTCAGAATAAATCCCTGCAAAAACTGTTTGAACAGAAGTGACACTGGGTCTGAAAAAAGATTTGCATCCCATGGGCACTGATGAAAATACTGCCAACTCTTTTAAAAGCATTTGTATATCTCCTGTTTAGATTTTGGCAGGAGTTGCCCTGCTTCTCTCCCCCAGCACCTCTTCCAAGCTTTGCCACTTCTGGGTATGAGCAGGGAAGTAAAGCAAGCAAGATAAGGAAGCAACTTCACTTACCTCTCTTTCTTGCTCACCTTCTCCTGGCATTATAGCAGAAAGAATTGGGCCCACAACTTTGCTTGAAGAGAAGGTGAGTGCAGACACCTTTCTTTGCTCACTTGCCTGCCATCTCCCACTGGGCAGGACAGCATGGAGGACTGATGATAGCAGGAACAGCCACTTCCTCTCCTCTCTCACTCACTTGTGTCTTCCCCTGAAAAGCTTGGTAGTGGCAGTTGGGCCCAAGTACCCCAGTCCTCCTCCACTACCGCACTCTATGAGAGGCAAGGAGTGAGTGGTAGAGGTGGTGACTACAGCCACGGTTTGCTGTCTTGCTTGCTCGTTCTGCCCTCCAGTCCACACAGTGAGAGGCTGACATGCATAATGCAGTAGCAAAGGGCAATGGAGCATGTGCAGGCAGCTGTTGCTGCACCTGCCTTTTCTCACTCTCTCTGGGTTGCACAGCAGGGTGGATTTGGGTCTGTGTGGAGAATTCTGGGACCATGCTGCCCTGAGAAGAACTCAGGTGAGCACTGAGGGGGCTGGCCCTAATGGCCTTATGGGCCCCTCCTGACTCTGTTATTCTATGTGTCTGCCTGGTGGTTGCTCCTTCCATCATCAACCCTGTCTGCTGCAGTGCCCAGAGCATGGGTCCTCAAACTACGGGCCGGGGGATCTGGATCCGGTCCGCCATGGCCATTTCTCTGGCCTGCCTCAGAGGTTTTCAACGCGCTGCACACGCGCCCACCCACCATGTGCGCGCCCGCAGCTGCCCGCCTCACGCCCCCCCCCCCCCCCGCACAGGGAAGCGGTGACTTGCTCATGAGGAAATCGTTTGGGACTCACTAGGAGAAAACAATCTGCAAGTGAGAAAGCCACTGCATTGCATGCCTGCTGCTGCATCGCAGCACGTACCTTCCTCCGCCTTGCCTCCCCTCACCATGCTCGGCCTGCCCCTACCTCCGTGTCGGCCCACGTGCCCCACTGGCACCATCCTTCCAGCCCGTGCCCAGCACTGGCACCTTTCACCTGGCCCCCTGGTTAAAAAGTTTGAGGACCCCTGGCCCAGAGGGAGAAGTGGAAGGGGAGCTGGCCAAGGCTCAGGCGCCCTCTGAAGGCAGTAGCAAAGACCCAGAGGGTAAACAAGAGAGAGGAGGCAGAATCAGCCATTGCCTTCTTCCTTTGCAGACGTTCCTTCCCACCTCAAAGGCAGGAGATGCTGAAGAGCAGGAGTTGCTTCTTGCTGGAGCAACTACTGCTGTTTTCACATGGTTGCAGAAAGAATTGAGCAAGTGATGGCCAGGACTTGCTCAAATTGCGCCTCTGCTCTCCCAGTAAACACTCTGCTCAGTTCTCCTTCCCCACCCCGCCCCACGTTCACTGGCTGATGTGGAGGATCATGTTAATTAGGCTTCACTAAATGTGACATTGTGTTAGCAATTTTCCTACCTGCCCCTGAATCCCATGTGCACATGTGCATTCTACTATCTTAGCTTGAATATTCATATTGCATCTGATCTTACTTGCACACCAGGCTAGAAAACGATAGTTTATTTTATGAGAATTGTCAACTCACATGGTCCCCTGACTCCTTCCTCCTTCATCCTATTACCTTCTGGGCATGCACTGGATAGCTAGAACAAAATCTGGATTCCCATGTCCTCTCATGAGATGGGAAAGCCAGGGAGAAAAGGGATTTTAAGAACTGTGAAGCAGCAACAGCAGATGCTGTAAGACAGCTTGACTGCCGTGAGACTTTGCGCTCTGGTGTGTGTCCATCTAGTACCTTAGCATACATACAAACCCATATGTACACATGCACCACAGTGTTAGGTGCTCTGTGTCCCTGCCTCCTTCCTAACTTCTTGGTTGCTGCCAGGAAGAGGGAAGCTCAGAACTTAATATTTGCTGGTTGTATCTCAGAGCTGGTGTGATCCTGATTAGCAGGACAATTTGAGATGAACACACCATGCATGATTTGACGCAGGTGCAGCAGAAGTTGTAGGGTGGGGAAAGCTTGGGGGGGCAGCACCCCAAAGAAAGCCAAAGGGGGCTTAACTACAACAGACTGACAGCATAATATTATCAGTGTGTACTCAGAAGTAGGTCTCCTTGAGTTCAATAAATGGGTCTTATTGACTCCCAGATCACAGGATTGTAGTTGGAGTCTAGACTGTGCTTACTTGGATTTCTTGCCTTATGAGAGTGGGGAGACAGGGCTTTTATTTTAATCCAAGCATTGAACAGTTGCTCTGAACAAAATTGTGGAGAAAAATGACATGATTTTGAGGGCTGTGGCCATGGCCCTGAAGGCATTTGATCTGTGGCTGATATACCATGGACTGGGTCCTGGTTTTGCTGCATTCAGGCTTCCTCTGCTGGAGAAGATTGTGAACATACCTAGCTGAAGAACTGTGTATCATGCACCTAATGCTTTGGCCTGCACAGCTTCACCAGCCCTGTGTCTTTTCTCATTGTGTGAGGATATAGGGTGCGTGAAGCTTAGCCAGATGGGTGTCCACTTTGCTAATGAGGTCCAGGCCCAGTTGTGGAAGCATGCCAAAGGAAGGGACTCAGCCAGTGCTTGTCCCTTGTAGGTGGTTATTGCTGGTAGGTGGTTATTCTGCCTACGTGAGAGCAAGAACTTCAGTTCCTAACTCAAATGCTAAGGGAAACTCCACCTAGTGCATTTCTGCCTGTCTCTCAGCTGTTTGATACAGGGCTTCAGGCATGGTGGAAGGGAATAAGGTTCAGCTTTAGGAATGGCCATTTAGATTTTCCAAGATGTTTGGCACTCTGTGTCTAGCAGCCATGTGACAAACAGAAAGTTTGCCTCATCATTTGGAAGTGGGAACTGCACTCAGTGAGGTTCTGCCTGTCTTGTAGCTGATATACAGGCAGAATTTCCACAGGTGCTACTTCCCCCCTCACATGTAAGAGGAAATTGCAGCTATTTAATTTATGTCTGTCATGCAGACCTGGCCCTCTTCCCTTAAAAGGATCACAGTAGCCCTTCCACTTTATGAGGATAAGGTTGGAGAGTGGTAGAGGCCAAACAAGCGTAAGGAGGCATGGCAGGTTTGCATCAAAAAGAAGCAAAATGAAGCAAACTGTATTTTCAAGATTTCTCCTTTAATTAGGTGGTGCGGCAGATTGCAATTGCTTTAATCAGCCCTGACCCTTTCATCAGCCCAACCCTTCCTTGGGCACTAACCAACTCCTGTCTTCTCACAGCCCCTTGTCTGTGCAAGAGTTGCTCCTTCTTTGGGAAAAAAGAGAGGGAGGGAAATTATGCACAACAATAATATTGGAATATAATATTTTGAATATTATTATACATATTAACTGTACTAACATTGAAATGTTCCAGGCACACAAACAACATTAATTTCTCACTTAGCAACTTTTTTCAGGATATATTCATGCTTTTCATCAGATTTTTTTGTAGGAACGCTCACAGATATTTTATCTAGTGTGCTTTTGTTTCTGCTCTTGCAAAATGGAACTATAAGGCATTTCTGTCAGCTGGATTTTGCAAAATCTTAGTCATCAGGAAATTTCATTAACCAGGCTTCAAAGAAAGAGAGGCACTGTGATGTCACAGCACAGCTACCTTGACTCTTGCATGTTTTGGGGTGTGTGGCCAAATTGGAATTTCAACTCTGATTTCAGCTGTGTATGAACCAGTTTCAGGAAAAACAGTAAACACGGTCAATACTAATTGCTTTCTGAATGATCAATTTTTAAGAGAAGAAATCCGTGTTCCACAAAGATCCCAAGCCTGTGATTCAGACTGAGATTATGGTTGCTTTCATGAAGGAGGAAAGAACTGCTTAGCTTGTTATCTCTGCAATTTCAGAATACAAAATGGCCAGGCAAGTGACTCAACTTACAAAAGAAAAAGGAACAATGGCTGTAATTCTGTTAGCTGGGGCATCAGCCTTGTACTTTAAGTGTCTATGTGCTGGAATATACAACAACTATTGTGTAATGTGGCAGTTCAGAGTGTTTACCAAACACAGACAAAACAAGCAGGCCTTTCATTGCATAATTCAACCATTGTGATTTCTTATATTGCTCTGCTAACACCATTTAAAAGATGCCAGAATGAGTAAGGTTTAGGGTCCTTTTAGCCCTAAATCCACCAATGCACTGGGAAAAGATGGAGCTATGGTTCCCCTTTCCATGGCTGAAGGTCTGGAAAGAAATGGGAGGCAAGGACACAGTTGTTTTCTGGCTTGGTTCAGCAGCACATTGGTACAGAGTAATTCCTGGATTGCAAAATACTAATGTGAATGGATGGGAGGGGAAGGTACCCAACTTTCCCAGAGACCCCCTCCTAAACATAAGCAATGTGACACCACAGGCAAACAAAGCCTACATCAGGTTGAGCACCCAAATCTAGTGGATCAGATTACAAATTTTCAAGTCAAGAGTGGACCTCTGCAAGCCATTCGAAAAGCCTAAATATGTGGATGGGTAGCCATATACATAGGGCAAATAAATACAATAAAAATAAAATGGATTCTTAGTTGGATTGCTATCCCTTTTTAGTAGCCCTACTCCTGCACCTTTAAATTAAGCAGGCATAGATTTTCCTGGCAGGGGGATAAAGTTTGGAAAACACTTTATCTAATACATTACAGTTCTTTGTGAGTCAAAGCTTCAGTTAAGCTGTGGGAGCAAGGCCAGTAAAAAGAATTGCAAACCTAATCTGAGTTGTGGTTTCAACATGCAGATCTGAAATGCACATAGATTTTTGTTGATTCCTCCATCTATTTATGTCCTCCTCCTTTCCCCATCCCTCCTCCTCAGTAACTTTTGACTAAGACATTGTCCTTTGGCTCATTCCTCAGAGTAATTATTTCTCAGGCACATGACAAACCCACGACCTGTTCTCTAGCCTATTCCCCCCACATTCAGTGTCAGTAGAGGTTTTTTCCAGCCAGCTGTTCTTTCCCTGTGTATGATTCACTTAAGTTTTTCATTAACCAGTCTTCATTATAATTCATTCCATGCAGAGGGGGCTGCTGCCTGCATCCATGTGTGTGTGGGAAGAGATGGGGTGGTAACAGACCTCTGAGGAAAAGAAAAAAAAATCCTAAGTATTTTTATGAGAGCCTTTCATGGGGTTTCTGACCTTTTTCCTGAGTGCAAGCATGTATGTTTCAACACCAAGGTAGTTTAGAAGGGTCAGTGCCTTGTTGAAAGAGAATTAAATTAAATGCAAGGACTGGCCTTGGTATTTGGCAATAATGAGGTAAAATATTAGGAATAGGTAGGCAGGGGGATTGAATGCACTCTGTGGTGACCTGGATGACCTATAGCGTTTTGGTAAGTTGGTTCACTGCCATGAGTGTTCTGTTTTACATGGGATATTGGTTCCCAGATTTTCCTTCAAACTCTCAGCCACAGTGTTTACCCTCTGTAAAACCAATAAATTGTTTCCTAAATATTTCTAAATGATTATTCCCTTAATAGCAGTCTGTATAAGAGAACACTGCACAAGCAGCTTTACATAGAAGATGTGGCTGGGCTCATTGGCTTGAGATGCATGCATTTTGCTCTGGCTCTGCAGTTGTAATGCAGTTGATGTCTGAACGACGTTCTCTTAGGGTCTGGTTACATCTATAGATACACTGGCTGCTGGCAGGGGACTTGTAAACATACAGAATAGACACAGAGAGGTAGAGCACAGGAAGTTTAGGATCATTGGTGGTAGGCAGTCTTTAAACCCTCTCCAACCCAGAAGTCTGTGTGTGGTCACTGGACCTGGGTGGGCAACTATGGAATGATGGATCTGGAACACTGTTTTCATGTTGCCCATTGTGACACAGAAGCATAGCCCTCTGCGCTGTTTTAGAGTCACTGGAGGAGGTGGAGGGAAGTACAATAGTGGTAAGGAAACAGTGCTCCTGACCAGTGGTAATGGGGGGATTTGGTTGCAGCAGTGAGTTCATGGAGGCTGCATAACAGGTCTTTGAAGACTACATGTAGCCAGCAGGACATGGGTACTGCACCTCTCCTTAGATCATGGGTCCTCAAACTATGGCCCGCGGGCCAGATCCGGCCCACCGTGTCCATTTAACCAGCCACCTCAGGTTTTGCAGGTGTGCACGCGTGCGCACGAGGCTTGCTCACACGGAGATCAGTTTGGACTCGTTCAGAGAAAATGATCTCCTCGCGAGCAAGCAGGTGCCTTGCCATGTGTGCATTCGGCAGCAGCTTGCTTGCGGGGGCGGGGGGAGATCGTTTGGACTCGCTCAGAGAAAATGATCTCCGCTTGAGCAAGCAGCTGCCTCGCCCCGCGTGCCCCCCCCCACCCCGCCACCCATGCATGTGTGCACCCCAGCCTACACCCCCCGCCGGCACCGCCTTGGTGGCCCGTGCCCACCACTGGCACCTTTCAACTGGCCCCCTGTTGGAAAAGTTGGAGGACCCCTGCCTTAGATGAACAAGTTTCTTTACCTCTGGGCTTTGCCTCTGTAACATTACAGCTGAAATTTGTGCCTGTCTTCCTGTTCTTGCACTAATAGGTGTTCCAGGAGAATCTCTGCATATGCACAATTCTGATTATTGTTTCTGTAATGCAGATGAGAGTCTGAAAATTGGAAGAAACCGTGGCTTGCTGAAATCCCCCTACTAGTCCTTGCGTGTTTTGCCCCATCCCATTGTGTGTTCTGATTCCATATGGTGGGTGGGTGGACAGACAAGGGAGGAATTCATACATTAAAGACTAAAACTGAACATTTCAGGAAGGCCTGCCTCAGTTTGGGCTCCAGCGCAGTCACATATTCATACTACGTTTTTTTCTGCAGGTCATGGGAAATGTGTCTGTGGAGATTGTGCCTGTGACCCTGACTGGACAGGGGCCTACTGCAATTGCACCACCCGCACTGACACCTGCATGTCTAGCAATGGACTGGTGTGCAGTGGGCAAGGACGTGGGTACTGTGCCTGCGGGAAATGCGTCTGTACCCAGCCCGGCTCATACGGAAACACCTGCGAGAAGTGTCCGACTTGCCCCGATGCCTGCACCATCAAGAAGTGAGCAGAGGGTGGGCCAGTTCCACAAGTATGGCTTGATGTGTATGGGAAGGGATTCCAGTTCACAGGGTTTGACCCAAAGATCCATGGTTTTAGCTTTCTTTTCAAAATCTTCAAGGGAAGGCAGGAGTTTTCAGGGTGAGTGGCCAGAAGCAAGAGAACTGCTTGTTTTATTTTCTTGTTCAACTTGCTTACTGCTTGTATTCCACCTCTGAGATGCCAGACACTGCCAAGTTCAGCCCCCTTACCCACCAGCTGGCACCCTCAGCTTCCACTGGGCTGCACCAAGCTCTGCCATCTGATCTATGAAATCTACCCCTCAGCTCCCAGGCTCTGCTTCCTGAGTGCCAAAATCCAAACCTCAGCCAAACAGGCAAGCCTAGCCAGCCACACCAGGTTCCCCAATCTGTGCCATCAGGATACCTACTAGCTTGCATTAATTTCTGTTCCCACTAGCTCACACCCGAGCAACATGCAAACTTCAGGCCCATTTGAGATGTTCTGACCTCCGGCAAGAGCAATCTCTCCCCTAGCAGCCTGCTGGGCAGTGGGAGAGAGGGAGGGAGAGACAGAGGGTGCCTCCAAACTGAAGGCTGCAAGGGGCTAAGCAGAGAGAAAATGATTGGCCCCACCTAGTTTTGACTTCTGGCATGTGCCCCACTCCATATTACTCCCAAAGGAAAGTAGTCCGAAATAGAAAAATGGTGCCCCCATGCCTGCATGTATCCCTTCCTACCTTACCAAACTCCACTCCCCAGAATTTCAGGAACTATCTTTAGTTTCTATGCTCCGACTTGAATTTCAGGATTTCATGCTCAGAACACCTGTAGTCTGAAGTGCCAATCTCATCATCAGCATTTGCTCCCTGGAAAGCTGACACCAGCCAGCCAGAGCTGCCTTCTTTCCTCCCTTTCTGCACCACACACAGTTCACTCTCAGGGATGGGGTGCAGGGATGTCCACAAGTTAGCATAGGAAAGAAGAGAGACAAAGAAATGGAAGAGACTGCCTCAAATACGGAGAATTGGTGGGTTCACATGACACAGCTGATAAGCCAGTCTGTGAGGATATTTAGCCTGGCACCCTGATGTGCCCCACAAATAATTGAACTCAACAGGGCTGTGGAGGTGCCTTCTTCATTCTCTTCCCCCTCAGTGAACCAAGGGGATGCTGCAAGGGCACTGAAGGGAGCAGGAATTGCTGACAGCCTGCACCCTTTTGCACAAGTAAACCTTAAAAGCTGCAGTGAGGGCTGTTAATGTGTCCGCCAAGCTCAGTAGCAGCACCATCCTGCCTCACACCTCCTGCACACACACCCCTCCCCAGCAATGTAGCCCCTCAGCAGCAGTGTCACCAGCACTAGAAGTGGCTGGAGTGAGCTGTGCTCTGCTAGGTCTCTTCTCAGGGATGCTAAGAAGAGCTCGCACACACACATCGCACAGTGGCTGCTCGGCAGTGGTGGCACCAGATTTTGGAGGAAAGCAAGCTGTGCTAGGCTTCTAGCCAGCCCAACTAAGCCACAATGGGTTCATGTGAACTCCATTTCAGATAAAAAACAAAAAACTGCAGAACAGACTTATTCTCAAAAGATACTGAAGAAAATTCACAGCTTTGGTAGACTGAGCCAATCTCCAGTTTGGGAGTTTTCTTAGGGTTTGTGTATGTGACTACCCCTCTCCACACCCTTCCGTTTGCCTCTTTGGAACCTAGTTTATGGTAAGGAGGTTTTACTGTGTACTTCTTTTATAGTCCTCCTCTTAACTTTCCTGTGAGACAACCCCAACATTGCTGTTTCCCTCCTCTGCCCCTTGTACTCCTCCTCTGGGTGCCCAAAGTCACCCAAGTTGGCTCCATGGCCAAGCAGGGACTAGAACTCAGGTCACCTGAGTCCCAGGCCCACACTCTTAACCACTACACCACACTGGCTCTCACAGTATGTGAGCTTCCCCACTTAATCCATCTCCATAGTTGGGGAAAGGTTGCCTTGCTGAGTTTCTGCTGGTCATTCTCATGGTAAACTTCCAAGACTACCATCAGAACATAAGTAGACTTGCATTTTACAAGTACAGTAACTGCTGCCAAGAAAGCAGCAACTCAGTCAAGGTGGAAGCACAAATTCACAAACCATCCTTAGGACCTGTGCATCACTGTTCTTCATCATGGTCTCTGTGATGTCTCTGTGGTCTCTGTGATTCACACATTTGGGCTTCAGTGACAGTACAAAACCTAGGTCAGAAGGAAACTTCTACAGCTTGGCATCATGGAGTGGATGGGGCGTCCCACTCCTTCCAGTTGGAGTTATTATCTGGCATGTCTGCTGATACATCAAGGAGAAGAGATCTGATCAAGCAGAAGAGGAGGCCAGTGTCTCTTGGTTCAGGTCATTGCTGCGGGACATGATAACTTACTCCTTTCTCCACAACTGGTGCCCTAAGAATGAACAGACTTGAATGTGGGACGTGCTGTGGGAAAGACATGTCACTTGGCTGGGTGTGTGGGCACATTCCAAGTCCTGATGAGATCTGAACAGAGCCTCCTGATTTTGCAAGAACTGACAGGGAGCACATCCACTGCCTCTCTACCACTTCCCTATTCTCATTGTTATTTCTTCTTCTTACGCAGGGAGTGTGTTGAGTGTAAAAAGTTTGAAAGGGGCACCCTGAAAGAGCAAGATACCTGCAACCGTATCTGCCGGGATGAGATTGAGCTGGTGCAGGAACTTGGTGCGTAAGCAATATGGAAGTCACTGCAAGCCTTGCAGGTTGCTCATTATCACCATCATTATTGTTCTTGAGTTTTACAGGATTTCTGTGTGGCTTTTCCATGGTGCAAGTTTTTCTATATTGTGACAAATCAGATTGCCACCACAAAAAGTGACACCCCAGTTCTTTTCTTCCCCCAGCCTCTTCTCTCTCCTGTGCTACATGACTGCTGCCTTGTAGACTGTTCAGGATCATGATAAAATAAGTACATCTTCATGCAGAGTGCCAGTAGCATTGCTGCAACAGGTAGCAATGGCTTAGCAAGGGCCCTCCATACAGCTACTACTTTGGTTGTTGCTTGGGGATAGTTGAGTAAGGGGGTCCTAATGGAGCTGAAACAGCCTCTGTCCTATCTCAGTGCTGTGCCCTATCAGTGGTTATTACCCATTATAGGTTAATGCCGCCTTCTCTATTTGGAGACAGCACAACACTAATTATCAGGTGCCAATACTTAAATATCATCTGAAATCAGTTGGCAATAGTTTTAAGACAGACACCATGTGTAATTTACTTGAATTCACTACTGCAAAATGTGGTACATAAAAGTTTTAAAAGCCAGCTAAAGCATTAGCTAGTTAGTTCACATCCACAGGTGTAGCTTCACACGTAACACTAAGCCACCCTGCAAACAATGTAGTATACGTTGTTTCCTGAACAACTTATGGTATACCTAACAGATGACTGGGCTTACAGTGGGATGTTCTCCCTCTGCTTTCCCTTTAGTCCTCCAGCCAGCTTAGAGTTCAGGCACATGTCCTGGAGGACTTTGGTGCTAAACCCCTCTTATCTGCTTGTCTTAACCCCTCTATGCTCCTTTCATTTGCCTGCTTGGCTTTCCCTTGCCTTGCCCTCCTTCCTTCCTTTTTTTAGGTCAAAATGTACAATTAGGATTGTAATTTATTATTACTTTTTTAGTTTTTTGTAAGCATGCTGTTATGGCTTTTGGGTATGTGTAGTCTTCTCTGGTCAATTTCTGAATAAATTTCAGTTGTTCAAGGGAACACTAAAGTTGAATAAGCAACATATAAGAAAAAAGACAAGTGTGGCTTGTCTTTCAGCTAGTTTGTGCATTCTTGTGAAGAACTGGGAAAGAAATTATACTAAAGAAAAGGCATGCAAAGCAAAAGCAGAGAAAATTAGAGGTGGGAGGACCCAAAGGACCAAAAGGTAATAGGGAGCAGTAGCTTTTCTTTGGCAATGGGTTTTGAGTATTGAATTTACAGTTCTTAGTGTCCTCCACTCAAAAAAAAAAAAATATATAGGAAAGCAGCTGTCTGGGATAGAGTAAATGGGGCTTCATGGGGAGGCCAGCTGCACGTACTGATGGCACTGGCGCCCCATTTGTTCCATTGTGTTTGATCACCCTCTAAGAGGGTCCCCCCCCACTTAAACCTTGACAGGAACATTTGCAAATATGTTGGACTGGGAGGTACATGGAAGGGAAATAAACACAAATGTAATGATTTGGAATTAAATGGATAATCTATTCTAGTTTAATGG